CGCTGCAGTGTTGGTTGTTCGAACTGAGCATAAAGAATATTGCCACCAAAAAAAATTAATTATTATTACAACAGAGAATGGATTGAATTAAACTCTACAAGTCTAAAATTCTTTCCTCATTTTAAACTATTTATACTAATTCTTTACTGAGAATTCTCTATCGGATATGGAATTACTTTTAATAGTGGTTTAAATCGAACAATTTAACATTCATAAAATACATACGCAGAAAGACTAATTTTCAACAGCAGAATGACTCCTCCCCCCCATTTTGGCACCGATGGACAATTTCTACTACTTTTTAATCTACAATAATTTCTACTTACTTTTTCTGTTTTTATTTTTAAAATTGAGGGCCAGAGTATAACAGGTAGGGTGCTTGACTTGCATGCGGCCAAGCTGGGCTCAATCCCCGCCATCCCATGTGGTCCCCCTACATCCCCAGAAACAAACTGAGTGCAATGTCAGGAGTAAGCCCTGAGCACAGCTGGGTTGGTCCATAAACCAAAAAATATAATGTACTGAGTAGCAATGGGTTACAAGAGTAAATATTTATATATGTTAGGGATGCAAAGATAGCATACGAAAAGCCCACCATCAAAATGAAAAACCCTTTACAAGTCATCTGTTTTGGGGGATGAGGGGAGACGCTAAACACAGCAGTGCTCAGGGATCTAAACACTCAGGGATCACTCCTTTCAGGGCTCATAGGACCCTATACGGTGCCAGTAATCAAACCTGGTTGGCCGTGTGCAAGACAACAAATCACTTGCTGTACTGTCACTCTGGTTGCCTCTCATTCCTTTTCAAAAAGCAAGGGTTTAAGGACTTTCAAGAAATATGCCATATACCTATGAAATTTTCAAAGAGAGAATGCTCCGTACGTACAAATAAGCATGCATAAAAAAAATACTCACCACATCCTTTAGGAGATTTAGAAAGGCCAACTAAGGCCCTTCTTACAGGTATTCTTAACATGTTGCTAAAAATAAAACAAAGAGAATTATATTATTATAGGGAAAGAAACCCTAAATACTTTTTTTGTAATATCACGGTCACGGTCGTTCCGTTGTTCATCGATTTGCTCGATGCCCAGTAACATCTCCATCGTGAGAATATGTGTTTGGCATATTCAATACGGTCACAGGGAGTTTGCCAGGCTTTGCCGTGCGGGCAAGGGTTTTATTTTATTTTTATTTTTTTTTTTTTGCTTTTTGGGTCACACCCGGCGATGCACAGGAGTCACTCCTGGTTCATGCACTCAGGAATTACTCTTGGTGGTGCTCGGGGTACCATATGGGATGCTGGGAATCGAACCTAGGTCAGCTGCATGCAAGGCAAACGCCCCACCCGCTGTGCTATTGCTCCAGCCCCTGTAATATGGTTTTAAATATTTCACATACATGTTTCATAGAACGTGTGCATATATATATATACACGTTCTAATATATCCCTCAAATACTTTGGATGGATGAAAATATCCACTCTCAAGAGATGAACTGACTTGCAGAATGAAGCAAAAGCTAGAACAAAGGACAATCTGGGGTGAGAGATGGTTGAAATGGTTAAAGGAGCTTGCCATACCCTTTGCTCACCCAGTGCGAATCCCGAGCACCACCAGGACACTCCTTCAATAACCCCCAAGAACTGTCAATGAGACTCCCAAACCCAAAGAACAAAAGCAAACAAGTAACAAAAAAAGAGAGGCAATTTTGTTGTGATTTCCAACTATCAACAACTGAGCAAGCTGAACACATAGTAATTTACAAAGGTTTTTTTTTTAATTTTTTTTGGGGGGAGGGGCACACCTGACTATGCTCAGAGCTTACCCCTGGCTTTGTCTTCAGGGATCACTCCTGCTAGCTTTAGGGGACCATATGGGGTGCTAGGGATCAAACCCACATAGGTCATGTGCAGGGTAAGCATACTGAAGTACTACTTTTATTGTACAGTAAAATAAACTTCAAGAATAACAGTGAACTCACAATTAAGTTACATAAAATAAAGTATCCTTTTCTGCTTTCACTGCCTACTGGTATGCTTTTTGCTTTGTTTCGGTTTGGGGTCACACCCAGTGGTGCCCAAGGTTTACCCCTGGATCTGTACTCAGGGATCACTCTTTCGTGGTGCTTGGGGGACCAATAGGGGACTGGGGAACCAAACTCACATCAGCTACGTCTAAGGCAAGCACCTTGTCTATTACTCTGGCCCTGTGATACTGAATTTAATTATTTTGGTTTTGGGCCACGCCAAGGATGCCCAGGGGTTACTCCTAGTTCTGCACTCACAAATCAATCCTGGTGGTACTTAGGGGATGGGGATCTAAACTGGGTCAGCCGGAAGCAATGCACGTGCCGTACCTGTTGCACTTTGGACCCTGTGATACAGAATTTAAAAACATCAACTCTGTCATCTACCAGCGTGACTTGTGGTGAACCCGTTTCTGCTTTATATAATAATAATAATAATAATAATAATAATTGAAAAAAACAGTAGATCCTAGACTGTGAGTTATTAGTACAAGCTCAACGTTAGTTAGAGCCGAATTCAACTTAAACAGTAATTCTTTCACAGAGGAAAGAAAGTTTTGCTTTTTGCTACATCTTGGAGTGTGCAGGGAACCCTCTACCAGAGGTGTCTAGAGACCCATTGTGATGCTGGAGATCAAACCTGGGTAGCCACGTTCAAGACAAGTTTCTTAATTCCTATACTATCTGGCTCCTGAAAATGTTTTCAGGTTTCTTCGTTAACCTCCCTTCTCTTTATTATTAATAAACAGTGCACATTACCTTTATTATACTTCCTACAAAGTTGCAGGATAGTTACTAACTTCAGTACCTGCTCAACTTTATAAACTCTTGGACAATGAACAGTACACTTTCACCATTTCCCTTTTCTGAGGAACTTGCCCAGTGCCTTAGCAGAAATTATCAAATAGTCTCATCAAAAAATTCCCAGGATTGGGGCTGGAGCAATAGCACAGCGGGTAGGGCGTTTGCCTTCCATGCCACCGACCAGGGTTCGATTCCCAGCATCCCATATGGTCCCCTGAGCACCGCCAGGGGTAATTCCTTAGCGCAGAGCCAGGAGTAACCCCTGTGCACTGCCGGGTGTGACCCCCCCCCCAAAAAAAATTCCCAGGATGAGAGCCTATATGCTCTCTGAGAATCTAGGGATGGTAAACTTAAACAGAATTGGCGACATTAGAGCTACTAAAAATTAAAAAACCAACAATCAACATTTCACGCTACAATATGAAAGAAAACCTGAAAAGCCATCCTTTCACTCCCCAAACAATACACAAACAGTGACCACTGCAAGAAGCCACAGGGAACTGGGGTGGAGATTGACCAGTATCAGACACAACACTGCGGAGTCCCCAAAGAGGAAATACACATCTCTCAAGTGATCCTCACTGGTAGCATGTAGGTGCTCAGATGGGAAAATATTCACAAGCACTATTTCTCAACCTAAACTGGACACTGCGGGCACGACTCGTGTCCTCCAAGGAGCCGGCGTGGAGGGCTATTCCAGTTGCCAACTCCAGTTTCCACCCGCTGAGATCTCAAGAGTGAAACTCTCCATTTTTTTTTTCCCCAAGTGTCATTCTTCAAATGTTGCCCGAGGGATTGGAGAGCGCACAGCGGGTGGTGGACGCCTTGGACACGGCCGACCTGGGGGTGCAATCCTGGGAGTCCCTGCAGGAGTGATCCCTCCTGAGCACAGAGCCAAGGAGTAAGCCCCGTGCACCACACTTCAACGTAACAAGCTCTGGTTTGCGAGTTAGTAACAATTCCTGACTCCACGATTGCTCCCGAGTCCCGTTTCCAGCTCGGGACAGACGTGCCAGAAGCAACTTGCTAAGAGCGCATTCCACCGCCAGTGGCCGGCTTTCCAACTCCTACTTCTCACAGCACCGCCCCCCGCCCCGACCCACCTCTACACACACAATTCTTGGAGAGGGCGAAAGGACACGGGCATCCAAGTAAAGAGCAAACTCCAGGCGCCCCCGCGCGGAACGGACCTTCCCCATCCCGCGCGGGAGAAAGCTGATGCGGCAGCGCCATCACTCGCGATCTTGCGTTCGCCGCCCGGGTTTCCCCCCACCCAAGCCCCACCACGCATAGCCAGAGAGAGACGCGCACGGTTGCCAAGGCGACAGCGGCCACTCCCGGGAGGTCCAGAACCAGAGCCCGGGCTGTGGGGGTGGGGGGTGGAGGGTGGGGGGCGCAAAAAAGGGTTCGGCCTTCAGGCGACGTCACCTGACCCGTACAGGCGCCTCTTCTGCGGGCCACGACCGGCCCGCACTCAGCCCCCGCCCCCCAAGCCTGCACCCGGGTCGGCGCTCCCCGCAACCTCCTCATCCTTTCCCTTTCCGCTCCATCAGTACCGGAGGTCGTGAGGGATTCCCGAGGCCGGGGAGAAGGGAGGGGGCGGGGGACGCGGCGCAGTCAAGGGCAAGAGGAGAAAAGAGCCACCTGGGCCCAAGGGAACAGTCTTGTGCATAAATAAACTCCCGGAGCCGAGCCTGCTGGGCTCCGTTCGTCCGAAAACAACCTCACCTTCTCCCGGGAGCCGCGGAAACCGCTCTGGGGGGCAGGATTTGCGCCTGACCCTTGCCTTCAGAGGTCCGGCCGCTATCTCAATATGGCGGCCTCGGCACCTCCGTCAGCGGACCTGGGCGACGGAAAGCCAGGAGGGACCAGAAACCTCAGGCTCCGACAAGTCGCCCTCTAGGATTGATTTCGACACTTCCCGTCCACCCGATGAAGGGCGGGCTTACGACGCCGCAGCGAGTAGGCGGTGGCGGCGGGGGAAAAGCGGAAGGAACCTTCAGTTCCGCCGGAAGTGAGTGGGCGGTCCTTAGGGCGGGGCCTCTTTAGTCGGCTCCGGCGCTTGGAGGGGTGCCGCGGCAATCGTTATTTAAGAAGTACACTCTCAGCTAGCTATTTACGTCCACGAAGAAGAAAGAAAAAAAGGCCCTGGGGGAGTGGGGGAAATGGCTGGATGATGACAGTACGAGCTTGAGACTCTCACACTGAGAAACGGACCGATGAACATACTTTGACCTTTCACCTTCGACCGGACGCAGCGGAGGGAAACGCCTCCGCGTCTATATAAGGGATTTTCCGGCCTTTTGCGGCCCTTTTTTTCCTGCCTCTTAGCGGCGAGCGCTTCTCGCCTCCTCGCTCCGCGTTACCCTCTCCCGCGGCGGACTCGCCCCAGCAGCAGCAGCCAAGCGCCATGGGTTTTGGAGATCTGAAGAGTCCCGCAGGCCTCCAGGTGCTCAACGATTACCTGGCGGACAAAAGCTACATCGAGGGGTGAGCGGCCGGGCCAGGGGGAGCCACGTGGTGCGGCCGCTGCAGGAAAAGGAGGGAAAGGTCCAGCTCCCCCGGGGGCCGCGGGCGGCCGGCCTGCCGGGGGGGAGAAGGGCCTGAGATGCGCTGGCTGGCAGCCCCTCCCAAGGCACGCGCCCAGGCTGCCACGCGTCTGGGCAGAGTAAAACTTTATGGAAGATGATTTCGAGGTGGTGTACGGTGGCGGCGTCCCCAGCCGTATCTTGCAGAGATGTGAACATAGGGGCCTTGATTTAGAGTGTGTGTGTGTGTGTGTGTGTGTGTGTGTGTGTGTGTGTGTGTGTGTTAAAAACAACAAAAAAGCCCAGACTGGAGCACCTTCGGGGCCGGATGCCATATGGCCTAGCTTCCCACGAGTTTATTAGGCCGAGGTGGCGTTGGTGCTGCGTTGGGTGGGGCGGCCAGTTTGTGTCGGAGGAGGAGGAGGGGGTATCTCATAAATGGATGAGTTGGGTGAGCGCTCATCTTCCTTGGTGCCCTCGGCAGGTACGTGCCGTCGCAGGCCGACGTGGCGGTGTTTGAGGCGGTGTCTGGCCCACCCCCTGCAGACTTGTATCATGCCCTTCGCTGGTACAACCACATCAAGTCCTTCGAGAAGGAGAAGGCCAGGTAAACTTGACCTTTTGGGTCTCCCGCCACCGTGTTTCACCGCTTTCCAAAAGTTGAGACGTAAGGATTTTTTTTTTTTTAATCCTTTCCTCACTTGGCCAGAGAATTGGACCCAGGTTCCTTTTAGAACAGTGTTGCGGGGAAGGGGAGGCGGGTAATTGTTAAGCTTGAGTTTCTCTGTTCCTTTAGGAGGCCAAGAGACTGAAGTCCTCCATTTTTTCACAGAACAGGTAGAACATGGACAGCAGCAATGCAACTTGTCCCCACACTGCCCTGCCAATTGCCTCCACCCTGACCGGGGCGGGCCCACCTCTTAGGGTGAGAGGGTGGCTCATTCGTTCAGTTCTTGGCCATTCTTCTGAAACCGCCAACCAGGGTGGAAGTTTGGGCAAGTGGACTCCAATTAACTAGGAATGGAACTGAGCGTACTTAAAATTTCAAACAGAAACTTTGATACTGAAAGAGTAAATCATAGTGAGTATTGCATATACTATCATTGGAACATGCTACTAATGTTGGTTGTGGGAGGAGTTAAGTATATAAAAGTTATTCTTACCTGGGAATGTTGATCAATTGCTAGTGCAAAGGGGGGAGGTCTCTTTTTTTTTTTTTAAGTCTTGATAGAGCAAGTTCTCACTCTAAAACTACGTTCTGTCAAGATTGTTGCGTTTCACTTTGTGCCCCCTTCCCTTTTTTTTCCCCCACCCCAGTCTGCCAGGGGTGAAGAAAGCTCTGGGCAAATACGGCCCTGCTAATGTGGAGGACACCACAGGAAGTGGAGCTGGGGACAGTAAAGATGATGACGACATTGATCTCTTTGGATCTGATGATGAGGAGGTATTGCAGAAATTGATAAGTTCGGGGCTATTGTGCTTGCTGAAGCACAGGCTCGGTAACATAATTGCCTGGATTTGGTTCCTGGCATAAATTATATTACCCTGCCTTTTAAAAAAGTTCTTGCTGGTTGTGTGATGAAGAAAATCCAATCACCATCTTTCGGCTGAGTTCCTGATGGATTTGCTTTTTTCTGATAACAGTGGAGTTTATTGCGAGGACACCAGCCAAGAAACAACTAGCTTTGCGAAAGAGCTTTTGGTTTTTTCTTTACAGGAGAGCGAAGAGGCAAAGAAGCTAAGAGAAGAACGCCTTGCACAGTATGAATCAAAGAAAGCCAAAAGTAGGTCACTTTATAATTCGTGTTTAAGCTTGACATCCCTCGTCACCAAAGTAATTGTCCCGTTTATTGAGTTGGTCGTTTTAAAACTCACCACAGCTACTGGTCTGCAACTGCTCTAAATGTGGCAGTTGTGGCATTCCTCTGTGGAAAAGAAATTGTAGCACAATTAAATGCCTCTTTCTTGGCAAAATAGAATGTAGGCATATACATGTGTGAACAACACTATGGAGATGATACAGTTTCAGATTTTGAGTTTGGGATGTGGTTAACTGCAGTTGAGGGTTTGAATAATTCTATTTCTTACCTTTTTTTAGAACCTGCAATTGTTGCCAAGTCTTCCATCTTATTAGATGTGAAACCTTGGGATGATGAAACGGATATGGCAAAATTAGAGGAGTGTGTAAGAAGCATTCAAGCGGATGGCTTGGTTTGGGGCTCTTGTAAGTTTAATGTTTTCCAAAACTGGCATCTGGGGTCTGCATGTGGTTTCAGGGTGGGTTTTTTTTTTTTTTTTCAGTTAGAATTTTCCTAACTTGAGATTTTCCTTCTGTTTTTTAGCTAAACTAGTACCAGTAGGATATGGAATTAGAAAACTTCAAATACAGTGTGTGGTTGAAGATGATAAAGTTGGAACAGATATGCTAGAGGAGCAGATCACTGCTTTTGAGGACTACGTGCAGTCCATGGATGTGGCTGCTTTCAACAAGATCTAAATCCATTATGGATCACTGCTCTTCAATAAAGGCTTGAAGGAACAATCCTTGGCTTGTGACTCTTAAATATGAGAATGACGCTTTCCTCCACTGTGATGGGAAAAACTTCACTTTGTATAATTTGCAAGTAACGCATTTGGCATAAGAGAACAAACAGCCCTATAAACCTCAGTATTTCATATATTACACAAGCAAAATTTCTAAAACTGATAGAAATGGACTTTAAATTTAGAACAGTATCTGTTTGTTAATGATATCTTCATATACTATGGTGCAGTTTTCCCCCCAGAATACATTGTATTTGTCTAATTGAATCAGGGAGCTCAATTTTTAGAAATCCTATAGCTATAGTTTCTGATAACTAGACTTTGTCATTCAGCTCTGGGGCTTTATGAGAGTTATAAAGTTCATTTTCATGCTGGTTTTCCTGAGTTGGAACTTGTTTGAAATACTGACCTATATGATGGTCACAGTAACAACAAAGTCTCCAATGGAGACGTTACTGGGCCCGCTCGAGCAAATTGACGATCAACGGGAGGGCCTTTACCTTTACCTATGATGGTCAAGTTGCCAGTCAGTGAAATATTTGGAGCTAAGAGGAACTGGCCCGGGGCCGGAGCTATGGTACAGCAGGGAGGGCATTTGCCTTGCACAAGGCTGACCTGTGTTTGATTCCCAGCATCCCATATGGTTTCAGGAGTGATTGCTGAGTCCAGAGCCAGGAATAACCCCTACACCTCACTGGGTGTGACCCAGAAAGCCAAAAAAAGAACTGGCTGGGACCCTCCAGCCAGTTTTTTTTGAAATTAAAAAAGTTAAAAAAAAAAAACCTTAAAATCTTCCATAACCCAGAGATGGAGAGAGGCCATATCAGGGAAGGCTTGTTAAGATTTGGTCATGAAGGGGCTGAAAATACAGTACATGTGCCTGACACACTGCTGACCTGGGTTTAATTTCTGACATTCAATATGGGTCATTGTAAATTTACTAGGAATGGTGTGGCCCAAACACCCAGTCTTTCCCTCCCCATCACCCCCCAAATGGTCATGAAGTCTGGGCACATGGTGCAAGTGTTAAGATTCATGTGATGTAAGGGAGAACTTGACTTTTAAGTCAGAATGATTTACAGTAGCACTCTGAGGATTCTGTGTTGATTCTCAGACTGGTTCCTGAGCTTTCCTGGGTGTGTCAGATTGGACTAGTTAAGAGGTCTAACTTGGAATTGAAATCAACCTAGTGTGGTTGCAATGACTTGATAGGTTATGTGACAAACCCATGTGAATTTAGGTTCCTATTTCTGGCCACTGCACTGCACTGTAGCACTGTCCTCCAGTTCGATTTACTTGAGTGGGCACCAGTAACGTCTCCATTGTGAGATGTTACTGTTTTTGGCATATTGAATACGCCACGGAGAGCTTGCCAGGCTCTGCAGTGCGGGTGGGATACTCTCAGTAGCTTGCCAGGCTCTCCTAGACGGACGGAGGAATTGAACCCCAGGTCTGTGAAATGTGCATGGCAAACGGCCTAACCGCTGTGCTATCACTCCAGCACTTAAGTTGTTCATGATGATTGATTATATTCACTATTCCAACACCAATCCCACCACCTTTGCACCTTCCCACCACTATCATTTCCATTTTTCCCAACCACCAGCCAAACCTGCCCTAATTTAACTTATTTTCTAAACCATTGCTTTCAGTTCCAGATCTAATATGGTTGACTAACTGCAGCTCAGGGCACCAGCCAGGAGCCACCACTGGATAGAGTTGAACCTCCACCCACACTTTTTTTTTTTTTTTTTGAGTGAGAGGTACAGTTGTACTTAGAAACTTTCATGTTTACGTTTCAGTCATATAATGATCAAGTACCCTTCCCTCCACCAGTGCCTATTCTCCACCACAATTGTCCCCAGTATCCCTCCCACCACCCCACCCTATCCCCCCTCCCTGCCTCTGTGGCAGGCGCATTCCGTTTTACTCTCTCCTTTTGGCCACCCACACTTTTAGGGCAGTTTTAATACCGATTAACCGTATGTGCATATATTGGGTATGTGGAAGAAAAAGAATATTCAGAAAACCTTCACTGATGGAGAAGCATGCACATTTCACAGACTGGACTGGATCTTACTTCTTGGCCTGGTCCATATCTTGCTGTGCTCAGGGCTTATTTCTAATTTACTGCTCAGCACTCCTGGCAGGGTTTAAGGTGCCCATATGCAGTACCAAGTTCCACTCAAAACAAGCACTTTAATCCTGTACTGTCTACCCCGCCCCACGGGCAGGAATCTTCTCATCCACTTTATACAGACTCATTCAGTGAAACAGACCTATTGTACTGAGTTGCTGCTGGTAGAAGAGCTCATCTGGTCAAGTAATGGTCAAATGCTACAAAGAATTTTATAAGAATTATATAAGAATTTTGTTTGCAGCTGCAGGTGGCAGGAGAGATAAGCAGGTAGGGTGCATGCCTTGTATGCGTTTGAGCTGGGGCTGCATATAGTCCTCTGAGCCTTGCCAGGAGTGATTCCTGAGCACAGAGTCAGAGGGAAGCCCTGAGCACCATCAATTGTAGCCCCCCCCCAAAAAAAACAAAAACAGTTCATGGGGGGAGGAAGGGGAGCGCATATGTAACTTCTCTTTTACAGTGGTTTTAGGAAAGAGTGAATACCTGACCTTGAAGGTTTTATTTTTATAATATCATTGCAGTCATTGTAGGCCGAAGAAAAAATATCAGAACATTCTTGCAGACAATGTTTTCCCCATCTTAATCTGATTTCATTTATGTGTCACTACCTTGAATGTAGGAAATTGCTTAAAATCTCAGGAAAATTAAATTTGACATGAGTGTATTGAATAAAATCCCCACTAACCAGTATTTAGTCGAAGAGACCAGCAGAGGGCAGCACATCACTTTCTAGAAAATCAGAGAGCCTGTGGATTCTGGAAATTTCCTTTCAATGCTGCAAAGTGCGGTGTTGAACCTAGTGAATAGAAACTAAAAATAATTCACACTACGACATATAAGAGGGATTGAGTAACAAATAGCTCAACCAAAAAGTGATAAGAAAATTAACAATTTAGTTGAGAGTGAAATTTTAGAATGGTTAAACTATAAATGTCAGATAAAATAAGTGGTGAACGATGAAGCATGTGATTAAAATTTAGAGTCCAGAGCCTGGAATAAAATATTTAATGATAATTTTTATATTTTAAAACAATACATTAACAGAGTTCAGAATTTGAGAGATTATATAATGAAGTCCTTTTTGTCTTTCAGGCTTCCTGTTCACCTTTATAAACACAATGTCACCAGGTTCTTAGCTATTCCTAGAATTAATCTAAGCATATGCCAAGACTGCTGTAACATACAACACATAACTGTTCTGCACTTTGCATTTGGTTCCTAGAAATAGTCGTGAATATCTCGGAATTTATCTATATCTTAAATATTCCATACCAGTACATAAAAACATACAACCATTTTTAAAGTTACATAATCCGTTGTCTTATTTTAACCTGTCCTTTGGCTCTCTAGGTTGCTTTCCATTGTCTTGCTGTCATGAACAGTGCTCATATTAACATATCAGACAGTGTACAGAAGGAGCTGTTTTTGAGTCTAAGAACTCAGAAACATAGACATACGGAAAATAAATGATTTTCTGAGGAAGGAGGAATAGTACAAAAGAGGGCATTTGCCTTGCAGAGGTCCAGCCTGGATTTCATCCCTGACACCACATATAAACCCTGAGCACAGAGTCAGGAGCTAGGACTGAGCACAGCTGGATGTGGCCCCCAAAACCAAGAAATTTACAGAGGGGCAGGTGTGGGCTGGGGGAAGGTTTTCTTGCTTTGAAGCAGGAAATAGAAAAAGATAATTGAGAGAGAGAGAAAGAGAGAGAGAGAGAGAGAGAGAGAGAGAGAGAGAAGAAAAGCGCCTGCCATAGAGGCAGGTAGGGGGTGAGGGGTGAGGGGTGATGAGAGGGAACCTGAGGACACTGGTGCTGGGAAATGTACACTGGTGGAGGGATGGGTGTTGGAATACTGTATGACTGAAATCCAATCATGAACAGCTTTGTAATGGTCTATCGCACAGTGATTCAATAAAAAAGTTAAAAAAAAAAAGATAATCGAGCACAACATTTTTGTAAACCCCATAAGTGATTCCAATGACTAAAGTCTTGTTAATTTTCATAATTTTCATTAGCGCTGGGCAGTTTAGGAGTTTAAAACTGACTCATTCAATACCACAGTAAGATGCTATTAAAATACAAAAAGCTAAATTACACGAGGAGGTGATTCAGATACACATAAAATTGATAAAAATCAAAATTATTTTGTGGCTAAGCAAGTAAAATTCAGAGGTTCCTTTTTCTTTCTTGGATTCTTTAGCTTTTCTCCTGATCATGGGATCTAGGATTTGTCCCAGGAGGACCAAGAAGGCAGAGACCATGAAATCTGGGGCATGATGAAAGTTTGGGATATACTAAACTGTGCCACACATTTCAGAGGAATGATATCCCAAACTAGATCTAATTGTCATGATGTCAAGGAGATTAAAATTAGAAGCATATTTCTCACCGAGTGGTGGAGTCTGTACCCCTTTGCAATGAAGCTGAGCTGTCAGGTAACTGCTTTGACTCATGGAGTACTGTGGAAATAATACTGTATCAACAGTTAGGCATAGCCTTTAAAGGCAGTAGAAACGTCCATTTGTTTTTTTGTCTGGCTACCCTGAGGTGCCACATTAGAATAACTGTACAGAAGAAGAAGAGAAGAAAGGGTGAGGGAGAAACCAGTGTGGGAGAGGAGAGAGATTTGCAAGGAAGGAGAGAGATCTGCTCAGCCCGTGTCCCGCTATTCCAAAAGCCAGATGGGTCTTTGCAGTTTAACTGAGTCTCCAGGTATTTATGCAGTAGAGAGATAATCTTTTCTTCTGTTTGACCATCAGTGTTGTGAGTTGTTATAATAAAAATAATAATAACAACAAACAAATTAATTGTTGTTTTAACTAGATTTGGGAGCAGATTTTGGGGGGGAGGTCACACCTGGCTGTCAGGATTAAATCCTGTCTCTGTGCTCAGGGATCACTCCCAGATACACATAATCAAGAATAGTTAATTTCAATGTCTATATAAACTAAATAATAACACAAACTAAAGAAATTAGACTAGTTTCATTTTAAGAATATCCAGGGATAAGATTCAGTGGTAGAGTATATACTTCACTTGTCTAAGACCCTGGGTTCAATCTCTCACACTCACTGTTTTTTTGTTTTTGATTTTGTTTGTGGGCCACATCTGGTGATGCTCAGGGGTTACTTCTGGCTCTGCACTCGGGAATCACTACTGGCAGTGCTCATGGGACCATATAGAAAGCCAGGATCAAAACTGGGTCGGCCACGTGCAAGGCAAGAACCCTACCCACTTTATTATCACTGTAGCCCTCAGTGGGACCCGCTCTTAAAAATACATAAATATACTTTAATAACATGTTTTAAGTGCATTCCTCATCTATGTCATGCGAGCTTTATAAATTTAAGGAAAGATTAAAATACAATAACTAATATTGCCTCAACAATATTTGCTGATGAATCCACTGCATACTTAGCAAGAATGACACATCATTTAAATTGCTGAGAAAAGGGAAAAATAAAGAGAAGTCTGTTTTTAACTTGTGGGGGTTAGAAATGGGTTGCCAACAAACTGACTAAAACATTAACAAATTAGGGTCAGCTGTATATCTGGGAAGCAAATAATCTGACAGCATCTGTCAGGGGGCCCCACACAAAAGCCTGATACCGATTTGGGCAAGAGTGCTGTTTCATTGGGCCGTTTCCAGGAGACACTGGGTCCTGGTTTCAGAGTTCTTGAGCTGTTCACTCATGGTGCCTGAACAGCTGACTTCCCAGAGTGTGTACTTTAGTATCTCGGCAACCGATGTCCGAAAGTGCACTTGGAACTTCTTACTAATCAGTACATAAAGGATAGGGTTCAGACAACTATTGAGAAATGCCAAGCCAATGGACAGCGGGATTCCAGCCTGCAGCACCTGGTGGAAAGAGCCCGTGTGGTGAATTGTGAGTTCCCAAATGCTGAACAGGTGAAAGGGAGTCCAGCAAATCAAAAAGGCCGTAACGACGGCCAGGATTGTCCAGAAATGCTTACTGGAGACCAAGGTACTTCGCTTCTTCACCTTGAAGATGAGACACAAGTAGCAAATGCTCATTGTCAACAAGGGGAAGAGGTAGCCAGCGGTGACTTTCACCCAGATCAGAGTGTGGTGCCTTAGCATAATCAGGTCAGGATCATGCTCATGATAATTAGTGTAGCAACGAATGCGATTATTGAACTCCCGAATGTCCCGAAAGTAAAGGGCTGGACCGCCCATTAAAAAAGCCAAAAGCCAAACAAAGATAGTGACCAGAAGGGAGTTTTTTAGGGTTCTGTGGCGGTGAGATAAGACAGGATGGATCAAGTGAAAGTAACGGTCCAGGCTGATCACTGTCAGGAAGAAAACACTGGCAAACATGTTCAACTGGGCAATGAAAGAATTGACCTTGCATAACCATCTGCCAAAGGGCCAGTGGAAATTCATGGCCACATAGGAGATGTAGAGGGGTAGGAAGAGAAGAAAAATGAAGTCTGCAATAGCCAGATTGAGGAACCACAGAGTGCTGACAGTTTTCTTCCACTTGAATCCTGTGAACCAAATGACAACAGCATTTCCTGGAATTCCCAGCACAAAGGCTAAGCAGTACAACACCAGAGAGATGCAGTGAGCAACCCCTAAGTGAACTTTTTCCTCCAAGTCAGGCTCTGGAGTATAATATTCTGAGGTATAGGTGTAGTTTTCATAGTCGTCATATTGCGTTTCCTCTAGATCTCCCATGATCTTGCTAAGTGGAGAACAAGGAAATCTATAGGAGCAAATGGAAAAAGAAAACAATTTTAAAGAGAAGAAATGTTCAGCAGATGATAAAGAACACAGGATAAAAATATTCCATCTTTCGCATAGGATAATACTTTGATTAAACTCTTGGTATCCAAGGTTTGGTGAACCTTGCTTTTCTTCTGTTTATTCTCAAAGATTTGTAAGGTGTTCAACATAGAGTAAATTTAAGTGATGGACACTAATAATAGAAATTTCTTTATAATGCTTATAGGGGTGATTAAAAGTGAGTCTAATATTCAACAAGCATTTAATATGTTCTTACTGTGTATTATTATTTACTAGAAGATGCAAAAGAAAACGGGTTAGTATTACCAAGAGATGACTTCAAAACCTGTATTTGAACTCTAACTGCTCAAGCTCTAGACAAATTCAACGGCTTCCTCAGCCCCATCTACCCTGACTCATATGCAAGCACTAGAGAGTTTCCCTCACTGTTTTTCACCCATGTATTTTTTCTTAATTAGTTTTGGAGGGCACCAGCAGGTAGAGCATTTGCCTTGCACAGGGAAGACCTGGGTTCGATTCCTCCGCCCTTCTCGGAAAGCCTGGCAAGCTACCAAGAGTAACTCGCCCACACGGCAAAGCCCGCAAGCTCTCTGTGATGTACTCAATATGCCAAAAATAGTAACAACAAATGTCACAATTTGTTGTGAGACGTTACTGATGCCCACTCAAGCAAATCGATGAACAACAGGAGGACAATGCTACAGTGCTACAGTTTTGGAGGTTCTCATAAACTCAGGGGACTCACGGGCTTCTGACTGTACTTAACCAACTGGGCTGAGCTTCAATACTAGGGCCCAAGAATGTGGTGCTACCCTGGAGAGCCAGGGAGCACCAGGGCCAGCCCAGCTGTGGCTCTGGGAACTGCAGAGTCACACCTGGGGAAGCTTGAGGGCTCTTGGGCTATACCTGAGGACACTCAAGTGACTATGAGTAACTGGGGATCTAACCCCTGTACTATCTCCTAAGCACCCCAAACAAAAAAATTTCTTAGCATCTTCCCAACCCTACATGTAGCCAGCATCTGAATTCTTAATATTCAGCTCAAATGCCATATTTCCTGAAACTACCTTCCCTCAAATAATTGCAATAATAATTGCTATGATTATAATAATAGTCCATGTTACTGGGAATTTGCTAGACTGATACTATTTCAGTCACATTAACATGTTCTGCCCTTTACTTCCATAATTTAAATGTCGCCAGGAGCAGGCAGCTTTAATGGGTGCAGTGGTCCAGGTCAGGGAGACAATGGGGTATCAATGTACTGAAGAGCAGTGGATGTGCTTTCCGTGACTGGTTTTCCAGCCAACTGTTCCCATGTGGAAAATGCGAGCTGAGTCGTGCCACAGTTTCAGAAGAATGGCTGGATATCTATATATACTTTTTAAAGCTTCCAACTTGCATACTACTGTTTGAAAGCGAAACAGCTGGAGGCTGCATTCAGCACAGCTACAAATTGGTGGCCCGAGGGCAGCAAACTCTTGACACTGCTGACTTTTTCAACAGAGAAGGAGAAAAACTATACATTAAACTGTAAACTCAGAGTTGACTTTCTGTGAATGATGTGCCCCAGGTCACGAGGAAGCAACTGTAAAATGTAATGCTTCTCAGAAGCCTCTTGAGAGAGCCCCACATGAACTTTCTGACTTAATTATATATGGAAGACAGGCTCTACAAGCGGGGAAAACTTTTACACAAGAAAAAACAAATGTCATGAACATGATTCTGGCTTTGGGGGTTTCAATTAGAGTTGACAAGAATGACACTGCTGAGAAAAGCCAAATAATGGATCAGCAGAAGGACCAGCGCTATTCTCTGGAGCTGTGACAAAAACTACTAGTGCTTGAAAGGAGATGGTGGGTGGGTGAGTAAATGAGCCTCACTCTGCTTCCAGAACTCTCTGCTCAGAAGACGGCCTTAGTATCTCACGATGATTCATTAAAATTTAAAAAAAAAAGACTGCATTAGTGTGGCTTTAATCCCCATTGCTTGTCCATTCCCCTTTGTAAAATGTGCTCTGCCACAAAACAAACTCAACTTCATTCCTAGTGCAAAGTATAACTTGACAGTTCTCTTAACCTACAGGTGACTGGTTTATTGTCTATTCCTAGTGCTTTAAATAGGTTCAACTTTTAGATGGTAATAGGGATGGGCGTTAGTGTCAGAGCAATGCCTGTTACTATATTCACGGGGACTGTCATTTTGAATCACAGCAATTATTATTCTCCAGTCCTCTGGACAACATTGATCTCTGTTGCCATGTCTGTGACTCTGCTCCTTTGCACTCTCCAGTACCATGTGGGGCAGGGGTCCTGACCACCTTCACAGGAGGCATTGCTCTGACACTAACTCCCATCCCTTTTACCATCAAATTCTGTACCAGCTGTTCCTAGTCCAGAACAGCTTTTCAGCAACTACTGGGCAATATCTAGATATGTTGACTGTCACAAAATGAGTTGGGGGAGGGAGGATATATGCTACTAGAATCTAGTGGATAAAAGTTATGGATGCTATAAGACATCCCATAGTATATAGCCCTACCTACAACAAAGAGTTATCTTGCCCCCAAAACCAAAGGTACTAAAGTTAACAAGAAACCCTCCTCTATTCATAATATTCAGTCTGAACTCCAGCTGCTGAATCTGTCCTTTACTTGTGGGGGTTCTCACCTTGGAGTCTTGGCTTATGCTAGTCTAGTATATCCCATAATCAGCTCAACAATGCAATTACAGACTTTGCAAGTTCCAGGTCTGTGTTTATTTACTTGCTTGTTGTTTTGAGAGCCACATAGAGAGGGGCATGTGGGCTATTCCTAGTATGTACTTGGAGGGCACTCCCATTGGTGCTTGTGAGACCATGTAGTGCTGGGGATGAATTCAGGTCACCTACATTAAAACTTGCGTTGAGGTGGTTGAGATCTCGCTCTCTCTCTGGACCTGATGTATGTATTTAACAAGTGTTAAAAATGTTTTATGTATTAGTGGAGGGAAGTGGATGCTGATAAAGAGATTGATGTTGAATGTTTTATGTCTGAAACTTAATCACGAATAACTTTGTAAATAGTGATGCCTCAATTGAAAAAAAAGAAGAGCACACATATACATAAATGTTTGCTGTAGATGCTAATATTTCAATATTAGGAGATTTTACAAAAACTTCTCAGCGTTTAGCTCTTATTGACAATTTTTCTTTTGGGGGACTCCCAAGAGGCCCTCCTGGCAGTTCTCTACTAACAAGGCCAGTGGACCCAACGATACGGTGTTACTTGGTTCTTTTGGTGCAGATGATTGTCTGAGATTCTACAGGTCAATAGCTGCACCCAGTGATGCTCAAGAAACCACATGATTCTGGAGATCAAATGTGGGGGCTGTGCAAAGAAAATATCTTAAGCCCAGTACTATCCCTCTGGCCCCAGAGGTGCTGTTGCCATGGTCACCACCAATTCCAAATCACTCATTTTCAGGTTGCTGTCAGCAGTTCAAGTTGCAGTATGTTGAATGTTGTGACTTTTGTTGACATTGTGCTTTGTATGTCATAAGAAATCAAATCAGAAACCATTGAAGAAATTAAAACTATACAAATATAAGAAATATTTCAATAAAGTGTGTGATGTTTTGAGGTCTTATCTCAAAATAATACCTGTGAGTTCCAAGTAAAAATGTGGTCAACAAGGAAAGCTTCTTGCTTACTTTCTGAATTTCTGTCAACTTAAAATTAAGGGTGTTGGGCTAGAGTGATAGTATAGGAGTTCAAAACCTGGAACCCCATAAAGTCCCCCAAGTTCTGCCAGGAGTAATCCTTAAGTGTCTACAGCCATACCACCCTGAACACACCTGATCTCAGCTGATATCGGAAGCTAAGCAGGGTCAGGCCTGGTTAATACTTGGATGGGAGGCGTGATCCTTGAGTGCAGAGCCTAGAGTAAGTCCTGAAAATTGCTGGGCGTGGGCCCAAAACAAACTAAAAATAAAATAAAATTAAGGTTGTAAAACTCTTATAAAACTTTTTAGGGCCAGGAATGTAGCTTAAGAGCCCTCTTCCCAGACTAGTGCTGGGTGGGGTTCCCCCAAAAACATTACATTCTGATGTATCATCGGTGATGTTTTTAATACTTATCTGCTTATTTTTGGTGGTATAAGAGAGAAAAGACACACACAAAAAGGACACAGAAAGAAAATATGGGGGTCCAGGGAGATCTCTCAAAAGACAGAAGTGTATATTTGGCAGGGGAGGTGAAAGTCCCTGGCTCCAAAAAAAAAGAAAGAAGAAAGACCATACAGGGAGATTTGTCCTTTATTTAGCCATGTTATGTGTGTATATGCATATGTATACATACTTATATATATATACTTATATATGTATATATACTTTTTTCCTTTTTTTTTCTTTTTTTGGGGGGGGTCCACACCCCGCAGTACTCAGGGCTTACTCCTGGCTATGCATCACTTTAGGGACCACTTCCGGCAGGGTTAGAGGGACTAAATAGAATGCCAGAGATTGAACCTGAGATGTTTATATACAAGACAAGTGCTGTACCTGCTAATTATACAATCATTCTGACCCTTACCACTGGATATATCCTTTTGTTTCTGTTTTTTTTTTAAAGCGATGGAAGGATGTGAATAAAGACTTCTTGGTGAAACTGAAGAAATGTCAGCAGTTTAGGAAACAGCAGATTGGTTAGGCAGAACCTAGAAACGAAGGGGAGCAGGCAAACAATAGGTTATTGGGCCTACGGCTAAAGGAGACATCATCCATTATGAAAGAAGTCAGTCCAGTGGTCTTGACTGTTAGTGAGTTTGCAATGAGTCACTCTATAGTCTGCTCAGTTTGTAAGTACTGGCAAGAGCAAATTTATCACGCCAGGAGGAGACTTTGAGACTTGACAGAAAGGAGGAAATAGCTACTGTGCTCGTCTTAAACCAAATGTGCAGTTGAAGGCAAATAAATAATTCTCTGACTGAACTAAGACAAATAAAGAGTGGCCTGATGGTAATATCTTTTCAGGAGGTGCCAGGCCTCACAGAAGACATGACTATATGCATGGCCCATCCAAATCTGCTAGAAGTGTGTGGAAAATCTGGGTGTGGCACAAGTTTGGCAAACTGTTCATAAAGACTGAGGCTTTGGTGTCCAGAGAATGCCATGAGGTATATTTACTTCAGGCTTTCAGCTGCTGTGAGGACCAGAGTTATCATGTTCCTGGGTTACATTTACCCAGCTACTCAAGTGGCAAGTGTTTAGGACTAAAGTACAGAACTATTTATTGAATTAAACAAATTGGCTTCTCATCTAATCAGATTTAATAGGTGGTAAAACTGAAATTTCTTTCTAAATAAACAGATTTTACTGCAAGAGTTCTGGCAGAAAGTGCAATGATAAATGGTCTATAAAATTGAGATTATTTGGGGGGAAGGGCATCTGGTAGAAATGAGAATAATAATTATTTTTTTAAATGTAGCTGTAAATGAGGATTGGCCACAGAGGGAAACAGTTTGTTTATCTACCTTGACAAAAAAAAAAAAAAACCACAAAAAGATTCCTCTGGCAGAACATTTGGTAACTGCTGAGTGATTTAATGTTATTTTCATAATTTTGATTAAGATAGATATTTTAAAAAATATAATTGCAAATATATATATATAGCAGGATCTTAAGATAAATTAGAATAAAACTAATTTTCTTTTTTTTTGGGGGGGTGGGAGCACACCTAGCGATGCTTGGGGGAATATGGAAGGCAGGGGATTGTACCGAGGCCCTCTGGAGCAAAGCATACGTTGCATGTTCTTAGCCCATTAAGGTATATCTCTGGCTGCAGCTCTAGTTTTCTTTGAAAAGAAAAGTATGAAGTTGTTGACCTTTGTGTAGGTTGCTGTCTCTGTGGATTCCCCATATGCCCTGGTAAAATGAACTTAAGAACTGAATACATCTCCCATAAAAACCCTAACTGTCCTTGAGGGAACATGTATTCTGCTTCTGATCGTATCAGAAGACATGAGGTCAGCAAACGATTTTTCAGGGTCTGTTTTCTCAGGGAAGAGGGATATTTTGGAAAAGCATATGAATAGGGTATGAAGTTATCCGCGGCATTTCTCAGTGTTTCCCACTAGCTATAAAGTATATCCCCCACCCAGATTGATCTGAAGATGTTTAGCACCAGTAGAATATTTTACTGCCCTTTGGATAAATGGCCTCTACTTGGAAGGTCAATTAGCCCAGCAATATTTTATATAAAGATGCCCTGTTTATTCACCCAAGGGAAGTAAAGGGAATTTAAATTAGGAACCGAAGGTTGAGAAAGGTATTACTGATTTCTGCTGCTGGCTGGAAGGTGGTAGAAAAGTGATTATCAGATTCTATTCTCTAGTATCCAGATCTGGGATCCTTCAATAGAGAAGTATCTTGCTTCTCTGTAGCCTCATGTCATTTATTGCTTAGCATCAGGCATTTAAACAAATTATAGTATTTCCTGTTATATCAGAAAAAATGGAAATACTTTGGTTGGGCTGAAAGAGAGGGTGTATTTTGTAATAAAGGTCTTTGAATGTCATGTTTAAGCATTTAGATTTTATTTCACTGCCAAATTGGGAACAAATAAAAAATGCTTGTAACAGGGAGTGACATCAACAAATCTTTGTTTTTGTAAAGACCATCTGTAACAGTTCAAGAGATACATTGGCAAAGGATGAGAAAAAAAGCCAGGGCATCATTTAGGAGAATATTGCCACAACGGAAGCTAAAGAGAGTTGTTAGAATGACAACGAGGAAGATATACTTAAAGGACATTCATAGAATCTTTCAGGACGCCTAGCTAAACTCAGTCTAATCACAATTTTAAAAACATTTTTTATTGACTTGGCACTGAAAATCAACCTCAGACAGAAAATCTCACTGATTGTAGGCATGCAAATGTTTAATTCAGTTTAAAATTACAGGTGTTGGGAGAGGAAAAGTTTTGTCTTTATGAAAATGCAACAATTACTTCAAACTGGTTTTTTTTTTCTATAAAAAAGCACTTATGACTAGCCTGCAGGTCCAAGCTTCTGGCCCTGCCTTTCTGAAGCCATTGTGGACAGAGTACTATGTGTGAAAAATGTGAAAGCCAACACCCACTTACTTTCAGTTGTTTTGATGCTCCACCCAGCAGACTAGTACAGTCCCTTTGGCTCTGTTGATTGCTAGGAGGAAACAGATTGAATGATTAACCCTGGGTCAGGGAGAAATTTTTAGGCTTAATTGTCTTGCAAAACTTTAGGATAATGAGCATACAGACATAATTCAAATATCAGACCATAAAATGCTCCAGGGGTTCTGAAATGAGGCTGTCTGTCTGAAATCTCAGACCTATCTCTTCTTGACAGGTGGAATCTTAGACAAATCACCTACTACCTCCAGAACTCAGTTTTTTACTTGCTAAGTAAAGCACTATATAGCACTGTACTCCCTTTGTTCATCTTTGGTGACCTGAGGGCCTCCTTGGTGTGTTCAGGACCTATCACCTTTCTCCCGGCCAGCTGATAGTGATGGACAAATGAAGAAATGGGAGCCACATGGAGGTACATCTCTAGTCCGGAAGATTTTCTTCTTGTTTTTTTTTTTTTTTTGAGCCACACCCAACTTTGCTCGGTGCTTACTTTTGGCTCTGCACTCAGGATCATTTCGGGCAGAGCTAGGGAAACCATATTCCGTGCCAGGGATCAAACCTGGGTCAGTTACATGTAAGGTGAAAGCCTTTCGTGCTGTTCTATTTCTCCAGCCCCCTTCTGATCATATGGTTTACATTTTTCTTATTTGTATATTAATCACTTAAGTGATTAAGTGACCTGAAGCATAGAAGCCCTTCAAAAGAGTGTTTGAAACAGTTGAGTTTCTGAGAATGATGCTGAATTTATTTTTATTAATAAATTAATTTTTGGCTTTTCTTGGATCTACACTTAGGAATTAATCCTAGTGGTGTATGGGGGACCATGGGATGCTGGGAATCAAACCCGGGTCTGCCGTGTGCAAGGTAAACTCCCTATCCACTGTTCCATCACTCAGACCCCAGATAATGCTAAATTTAGAGAACAATTTCGCTTTCTTTTACAAGTAGTGTCTATGGCTGAATGAAAAAGCTAACCAAAACAAAAATAAACCACTTATTCCTATCAAGTGAGAATGACTGCATAGGAGGAAATTTAGGACAGTGAAAAAAGAAGCTAGTCTATCTTAGAGACTTCCTCATCCCTGCCTACCTCCCAGCTCCATTTTCAGGCTCGTCAGCATAAAGCAACTCTTACCATTGAGTACTGTGTCAGATAATCCAGCTACCCAGAATCCAGCTGATTTCTGGGGCTGTTTCTGACTCTACTGTTAAGTCACTACAAAAAATAGAGAAACCGGAAGAACCAGATTGCTAGACCAGGAACCTGTAAAGCAACTTCCATCTAGCTCCCGACAGCAGTTTCTAAGAACATCCACGCAAATGCACATTCTTTATTGCTGCCTGGTAGATTAAGTTCCAAAGCCCCTTTGCTGTTGGATTGCATTGGTTTGTCCTTTCTCACCCACAGGGAGTTTTGATTTTTTTTTAAATTTTTTATTGGTGAATCACCTTGAGGTACAGTTACAGACTTACAAACGTTCATGCTTGTGTTTCAGTCATACAATGCTCGAGTACCCATCCCTCCACCAGTGCCCATTCTCCACCATCAATGTTCCCAGTATCCTTCCCAAGTTTCAATTTATTGAGTTACACCCATCACAGTGCTCCTGAGGCACACCCAATTCCAGCAGGCACTCCCAATTCTCTGTGTTTATCATTAACCTCTCCTCTGTGCTCTCCTTAATCACATATCCCCAAATCAGACCCTGTAACTTGTAATGTAAAATTCTCCTGAGGACTCCGGATTTTGCATATGTAAGTGAAATACTGTTTTTCTCTTTTCTTTATGTCCTTTTGTAGTTTATTTTAGTACAATGTCCTTTTTGTATAGACACAACAAGACAGTTAATGCTATGCTTTTGTAACTTGGGAATTAATAGACTCCGAATAATATTTACTCCTGGGTATCCATCGTGTTTACTTGACTTAAGCCTCAGTTGCCCTTAGTTCCTAACACCCCAAAAGGGGGGACCCAGTGAGGGACAATGATAGGCCCCAGGCAAGCTTAGCTGGGTCCATCAAAAAGGGACAGTCTACATGCCATAGAAGTATAATAACTGGGGGCTGGAGTGATAGGACAGTGGGTAGGCCATTTGCCTTGGCACACAGCTAACCTGGGTTCAATTCCCAGCATCCCATATGGTGACCTGAGCACCGTCAGGAGTAATTCCTGAGTGCAGAGTCAGGAGTAATCCCTGTGCCTCTCCGGGTGTGACCCAAAAAGGAAAAAAAAGTATAATAACTTAGGAGCACGGTCATGGAACAAACTCTGACACAACCTCAAAACAAGTGACTGTATAAGGACCCTGCTGGGGTTAGGAAGGACTAACCTGGCCTGAGGACTGTAGTCTGGTGTATATATAGGATATGTCCCCAGGAAGAGCCACCCTTTAAGCTTAATATATCTCTTACTGTGTCCATACAAAATGACTAGAAATATTAGAAGTAAATTTAAGATGATTACTTAAATAGATACTGGCTAAGGAAAGGAGAAAGCAATACATCCTTAGATAGAATTCTGTCCTTGGGTGGATCTTCTAGCAGGAATCTAGAGTGCTGAGCACTTAGGTGATATTTTGTCCTTGAGTATCTCCTAGGAGAACTTCCCCCTGAAGGAAGGACTGTACATCTATTCATTGTTTATGATAATGTTCTACCACATCTATGTGTAACTGCTACCTCCAACCCTTCAGGATTTCTCTATGACTAATACTGTGAGACTTAAATAAATGGCCACTGATTATCAATCAGCCTGGTGGCTCCCATTCCTTCATTTGTCCATCACTATCAGCTAGCCAGGAGGAAGGTGATAGGTCCCGAACACACCAAGGAGATCCTCAGGTCACCACAGATGGGTGGGTGACCACCCTCAGGGACAGTGACAGTTTGCTCTTAGTGAACTGGAAACAGATGAACCTAGAAGACTGCACTGCTAAATGACCTCTCCGTTCCTCCTAGACCCTGCTATGGATTTTTCTCCCTTGTCTTCTCAAGCCAAAGATACTCTCAAATACTGCACAACCCTAGTCTTGATATAGCCTTTAGGTATAGAACACCAAGGAGAGAGAAGAAAATGAAAAGGAAAAGAAAACCTTTAACAATTCAGATAGAAAGGGGAACACCAAGTGGAGGGTGTTTGGAGGATCCTCCCAGGAGGGGAGATGCAGGTTGAAAGTAGACCGGACTGAACATGTTCGCCACTCAATGCCTCTTTTGCTGATCACAACACCCAGGAGGAGAGAGAGAACAAAAGGGAATGCCCTGCCACAGTGGCAGGGGGGGATGGGGGGATGGGAGGATGGGGGGGGAGGGATATTATCCTGGTGGTGGAAAATGGGCACTGGTGGAGGGATGGGTATTTGATCGTGGTATGACCGAGATCCAAGCACAAAAATTTGTAAATCTACAACTGTACCTCATGGTGTTTCACTAATAATAATAATAAAAAAAGAAAACCTTTACTTTATTTATTTATATTTTAAATCCTACACTTTATTTATTTGTTTATTTATTTGGCCCTTTGTGTCATGCCCTCCCCATTGTACTATCACTCCAGCCCTGAAAGGAGAGTTTTAATCCAGATTCTAGCTTCGATCAAAGCCCTCTGATCAAACTCCACCGTTAGGCCCTAAGAACTACATTTTGTCCTCAACCTAGCAGAACCCTTAAAGGGAAACTTGCTTATCGGGGGACCAAGGCCTCCTAGAAGACAGGTCCCATGGCCATATCTCCAGCCTTCCTCTTATGACCTTTTTTTTTTTTTTTAAATTAAAACAGGGATGAAGAGATAATTCAGGTAGTAAGATATTTGTCCTTCCATGCAGTCAACCCTGGATCTATCCCTGGCTAACTGTCTTGGCATTCCAGACTGTTATCTCGGACATGGGTATATTTTCTTGATCCTTTTTTCTACTTGCTCCACCCAAAATTTCAGACTGACAAGATTACCATGAAGCAAGTTATATCAGATCATAGAACTGCAGGGTTAAATCCTGCTTTCAGTTAAAAATTGGATACTTTATTCATCATGACTTATTTTTTCCCCATTAAGTTTGATTAATGAGTTGTTTTTGGTGCCTGTTAATTTTTTTTTTCTGTTGCCTCCTCCTAGTTCCAACTTGCCATGAGCTTAATTCCACTTACAGCCAGAAGTACCAGGTAGCTTGATGCACTGAAAAAGTATTGGGACCCAGGAGAGATGGTTTTAAGTTTTTGTTTTGTATGTCACTAGCTTGTATACTTGTGGAATCTGATCTTCCTATTTGAGGCCCCAATTGTGTCATGTGGAAAATGCAGGTGGCATCTAGTTATTTTTGTTGTTTTTAATTTAGCTTTTTGGGTCACACCCAGCGATGTACAGGGGTTACTTCTGGTTCATGCACTCATGAATTGCTCCTGGCGGTACTTGGGGGACCATATGGGATGCAGGAATTGAACCCAGTTGGCCGTGTGCAAGGCAAACACCCTACACGCTGTGCTATTGTTCCAGCCCCAGGCCTCTAGTTTTAAACTTTTATGAGGCCCTCCCGTTGATCGTCGATTTGCTCGAGCGGGCCCAGTAACGTCTCCATTGGAGACTTTGTTGTTACTGTGTCTGGCATATCGAATACTCTCGGTAGCTTGCCAGGCTCTCCGAGAGGGGCGGAGGAATCGAACTCGGGTCGGCCATGTTGGCTGCGTGCAAGGCAGACGCCCTACCCGCTGTGCTATCGCTCCAGCCCAACTTTTATGAGAAGTAACAAAAATAACAAAGATGGTAGGACAACGTATTGTAGTTCTTTTCTTATTTTCCATACCCCCAAGTAGCACCAAATTCAGCGATCTGTAGAAGTGAACATTTAAAAATCTGTTTTCTAGTAAAATATATATTTTGGGACAAAAATATGGAAGAAGGCCCAAACCAAAAACTTTGGCAAATTAAAAACATTTTGCAAAAGAAAACAAACCACTTCATGGTTATTTTTCCCTTTCTCATTTCTCCTAGGGAAAAAAAAAGAATGAGTTTTAAATCATTGGTTTGTTGGATTGACTTAA